AATAGGAGACTATTTCAAAGCATTCTTGGAAAAACAGAATTAAAAGATAAGTTTATTTTGGTGAAAAAAATCTTTGAAATCCATACACAGCTCTTTTCATACCAGGTATTTTCCATGACATTTGGCTATCAAAATATTTTTATACCATAATAAATACATATTTTTAAAAATGTATTTATTTGACAGGCAGGGAGAGAAGTGTGTGTGTGTGAGAGAGAGAGCTCTACTGGTTCACTCCCCAAATGCCTGTAACAACCAAGGCTGGGCCAAGGCGGAAGCTGGGAACTGGGAAGTCAATCCAGGCTTTCCACGTGGGTGGCAGGGGCCCAATTACCTGAGCCATCTCTGCTGCATTCAGGGTGCCCCTTAGCAGGAAGCAGGAGTCAGGAGCCAGAGCCAGGCATTGAACCCCATTATTCTAATATGGGACCCTGCATCTTAACCACTGTCTTACCCACTAGGCTAAACACCAACCTGCCTGTTTTTCATGAACTTTTTGAAATTTCCTAATTCCCTTATCCACTCAACTCAATTGTTTTTATTCTCTAGTGACTGTAGTGGTGGGAGGGGGGACCTTTTTGGAAGCAAACTTAATGAAATTTGAACAAACACTTAATACTTGTCCATTCCAGAATACAAATATTCTTCAAAAAATAACTTTTATCCCTATGTTTCATTCGTCATTATAACAAAACATTTTCCTAGATAAGTCCTGGGTTTTCCCCACATATCAAATATACGTCCCGTGGAATTTATTTTCACTAACAGTGTATTATGTTATCTTCTCTAACAATCTTTTCATCTCCTTTAAACTGTCTTTCCAGAGGTTTATTTAATAAATTTCTAAAATCACATTGTGTGAACACACACAGTTCATTTTCTTTCGCACCTGAACCATAATTCATTTCTAAACTGATTCTTTATCAAAATTTTCTATTTCTGTAAGTATTTTCTATTTCCTTCAAAATACCAATTAATTTTCTCTCTCAGATACTGTGACTCTTTGTTTAAGAAGAATATCCTTGTGATGGGTGTGTGGACAGCATTAAAACAGTCTTGTTTAGAAAGGAGGATGTTTACATTGTACCAGATCATAGATACTAAATTCAATATTTATACACTTAATTTATGATAGAAATGAGAAAGTTCAAACAGTATTCAAATTCTTCCACCCCTACCAAAGCGTGTGTAATGTTTTCTCTCATAAGTAGCCTCAAAAGCAAAATTTCTCACCACCTGCTCTTGGTGTGACTTGTAGGGAACGCTGGATTTGTCCTTCCGATGCATGGTAATTATTTCCCGGTCGATAGGAACAGAGCTGAACTAGATGCTTAGTTTTACAGCAAAACATCACGCCAGTCTTATAACTAACAATCTCCCATTGTAGTGGGAAACAGAGCCCACGAATCATTTGAAAATACAATCCCAGCTTTTTTCTTCACGTATCAGTCCGGATTCTTTTGACCTCCAGGCTCTGTGTGCCATGGGGACAGTGCACACTGAGAAGAGTCTTGGATTGAGAAGTGGGACCCTGAGTTTCCAGTCTAAGTCTAGCACTTATTGATCGATTGGTTGATTGATTGATTGCTGGTCTCAAGGTTACCCGCATTGTATATAAATGTGCTGTGACTGCTGGATAATGTGTGGAATTAATAGAAAAATGGCTGTTTTGTTTTTTTTTTAAAGATTTTATTTATTTGTTTGAGAGGTAGAGTTACAGACAGTAGAGAGGTCTTCCTTCCGTTGGTTCACTCTCCAAATGGCTGCAATGGCCGGAGCTGCACCGATCCAAAGCCAGGAGCCAGGTGCTTCTCCCTGGTCTCCCACACAGGTGCAGGGGCCAAGGACTTGAGCCATCTTCCACTGCTATCCCAGGCCACAGCAGAGAGCTGGACTGGAAGTGGAGCAGCCGGGAATGGAATCAGCGCCCATATGGGATGCCGGCGCTACAGGCAGAGGATTAACCTTCTGCGCCACGGCGCCGGCCCCAAATGGCTGGTTTTAAACTGACATTTCCTGAAAGCTAGAAAACTCATTGCTCCCTCCTCTGTGCCGCATTGGACTTGGTGCCTACCCCATTCCTCTGCAGTGGCCTCCCGAGCCCAACACACATCAGACCATGCTCCTCTCTGTTGAGACCGGAGAGTGGCCCTTCCTTTGAAGGCCAATTCTTCACCTGTGCTCTGAAACCCCAGATACAGAGAGACACAAAGACAGGCAGAGCTCCCAGCCACAGCTGGGCCAGGGCTCCCTGGGACTCCCCTATCCTATGTGGGAGTGCCTGGGTTGGAGAGGATGAATTCTCTGCTTCAAATCCAGCTTCCTGCTACCGCCTGGGAGGCAGCAGATGGTGGCTCATGTAGTTGGTTACCTGCTGTGTATGAGACCCAGAGACCTAGACTGAGTTCCTAGCTCCTGGCTTCAACTTGGTCCAGCCCTGAGGACTGTGGGCATTCGGGAGTGAACTGGCAGCTGGGAGATTTCTCATTCTCTCTGTCTCTGTCTCTTTTCCAATTTAGATACAGGTGTCCCAACCAGCAATGTCGCTCCCCCTCTTCGTGGAGGAACGACACAGGACCCTGCGCTGTTCTTTCGTCTGCTCGGCCCTCCCCGGGTTTGCTGCTGGTTCTTCCCGGGTTGGCTACTGTCCCTTCCACCTCCGTGGAAGGGCGGTTCCCCCTGCCACATTCCCCACTTCCGCAGGGGAGCGGCACACCGCCGGCCGGCTCTCTCGGGGGCTGCACAGGTGTTCCCCTTAGATGTTCCCCTTAGATGTTCCTGGTGCATGCCGGCTCTCTCCTCCTTTATAGTCCTCCTCTGCCAATCCCAACTCGGCTGCCCACACGCCGAGTACGCTGCTCTCCTCCAATCAGGAGCAAGTCCTACAGTTTATTGGTTGAACTGGAGGCAGCTGTGTAGAAGCTGTTTTCTTCTCTCCCAGCGCCATATTGTGGGAGAGCAGGTGCATAGAATAAGTCTTAATTCCAGTTAACAGTCTAGTCCGAGCTGCTCCCCACACAGCAACTTAACCACTACATCAAAAGTCTGCCCCAAATATATATATATGTGTGTGTGTGTGTGTGTGTGTGTGTGTGTTAGAGATTTATTTATTTATTTATTTGAAAGGTAGAGTTACAGAGAGGCAGAGGCAGAGACAGAGAGAGGTCTTCCATCCATTGGTTCATCCCAAATGGCTGCAACAGCCGGTGCTGCACCGATCCGAAGCCAGGAGCTAGGAGCTTCTTTCAGGTCTCCCAGGCAGGTGCAGGGGCCCAAGGACTTGGGCCATCTTCTACTGCTTTCCCAGGCCATAGCAGAGAGCTGGATTGGAAGAGGGGCAGCCAGGACTTGAATTGGCGCCCATATGGGATGTCGGCACTGCAGGCAGTGGCTTTACTCACCACACCACAGTGCCAGCCCCTATATATATTTTTAGAGATTTTTTTTTATTATTATTTATTTGAAAGGCTGAGTTCCAGAAAGAGACAGGACAGAGAGAGAGAGAGAAAATCTCCAGCTGCTGGTTCATTCCCCAATGACCACAATGACCAGGGCTGGACCAGCCCGAAACCAGAAGCCAGGAGCTTCTTTCAGGTCTTGAGACCTACATGGGTGCAGGGGCCCAAGCACCTGGGCCATCTTTCGCTGCTTTCCCAGTTCATTAGCTGGAAGCTATATTGGAAACAGAGCAGCTAGGACTCAAACCAGTGCCCATATGGGATGCGGGCACTGCAGGCAGAGGCTTAATCTACTGCACACAGCGTCAGCCCCTACTTTTAAATGTATCTGAAGTGCTGCCATGGTCATGCAGCAGGTTAAGCCACCACCTGCGATGCCAACCTCTCACGTGAGTGCTGGGTTTGAATTCCAGCTGCTCCGCTTCCTATTCAGCTCCCTGCTAACGCACCTGGGAAATTGGCAGAAGATGGCCCGAGTGCTTAGGCCCCTACACCCACGTGGCAGACCAGGAGGGAGTCCCAGGCTCCTGGCTTCAGTCTGCTCCAGCCCTGGTCATTGTGGCCTTTTGGGGAGTGAACCAGTGGATGGAAGATTCTCTCTCTCTCTCTCTCTCTCTCTCTCTCGCTTGTTCTCGCTCTCTAATTCTGCCTTTCAAGTAAATAAATAATTAAACATATATTTTTAAATTTTCTTCTTTATGAACTTAATGTATTTGAATGGCAGAGGGGCAGACAGACAGCTCCCTCCCAGTGGTTTACTCCCCAAGTGTCTGAAACAGGAGCCAGGAATTCAATCCAGGTCTCCCATGTGGGTGACAGTGACCCAAGTACTTGACCCAATTCTGCTACTGCCCAGGGTCTGCACTGTCAGGAAGCTGGAGCCAAGTGTTAAACCCAGGCTCTCCAATACAGGACATGGACATCTTAGCCAGTGTCTTAACCACTAGGCTAGATGCCCATCTCTACTGTTCAACAAACTTTTAACCTGTGAGGTACTTGTCATTCCTTCACGTTATTAAACTCTAAAGCGTGGCCAGCTGCTGTTGGGAGGGTGCAGACCCCTTTGCTTTATCTTCCGGTAGAAGAAGGCTTCCGTTGAAATAAGAAGACAAAACATGTTCACTGTGGAAGGGTTCGAATCGGACACTGACTAGTCTGAGTAACTCGAGTATCTCCGTGCTAACGTATTACTAGGCTTCAGCACTCACACTGCTCAAAGTATCTTCTATTTGTTTGTGAGATCATGGACTAGCACATTAAACTACATTGCAGTACTTGGTCTTCAAATAGGCGTGCCTTTGGACTACAAAGAAAACTGAGCATTTTAAAGTGCAGCTTTAAAATTTAGCTTTAAAATTTCTTCAAATAATCTAAGGATGTATTCTCTCGCCCTCGCCCTCGCCCTCGCCCTCGCCCTCTCCCTCTCTCTCTCCCCGTTTTCTTAAAGATTTTATTTAGTATTTGACAGGCAGGGCTACAGAGAGAGACAGACATACAGAGAGGTCTCCCATCTGCTGGTTCACTCCCAAAAAGGCTGCAATGGCCAGAGCTGGGCCAATCCAAGGCCAGGAGTTTCTTCCAGTCTCCTACGTGGATGCAGGGACCCAAGCACTTGGGCCATCTTCTACTGCTTTCCCAGGCCATCAGAGCAGACAGCTGGATAGGAATTAGAGCAGCTGAGACTTGAACTGGCACCCACAAGGGATGCCGCTGCCAAAGGCGGCACAGTTTAACCCACTATGCCCCTGTGCTGCCTGCACTCTCTCTCTCTCTCTTTCTCTCTCTCTCTCTTTTTAGGCAAAGTTACAGAGAGAGAGAGATCCTCCACCCGCTGGTTCAGTTGGACCTACAATTAATCATTCCTTAAGTTGGAAAAAGCTCGGATACTATTGTTAACAGTCACATAAGGAGTTCCATTATACATGCACATCTCTGTATTATCAAGTGGGTAAAATTTTTAAAATGGCACCATGGGGGTGGTGTAGTGGGTTAACCCACTACCTACAATGCCAGCATCCCATATGGGTGCAGGTTTGAGTCTCAGCTGACCCATTTCCCATCCAGCTCCCTGCTAATACACCTGGGAGAGCAGCAGCAGATCACCCAAGTCCTCGGGCCACTGCACTCACATGGGAGACCTTGATGAAGCTCTTGGCTCCTGGCTTCAGCCTGGCCCAGCCCCAGCTATTGTGGCCATTTGGGGAGTGAATCAGAAATTGGAATCTCTGTGTCTCCTCCTTGTTGCTGTGGATTCGTTCTGAGAGGAGGAGCGCAGTGGGGGCAAGAGGCGCGGAGTCATCACACAGACCCTGGGAGTCCGGTGAAAGCGGGCCAGAGGTGAGCAGCCTACAGACTCGTTTATTTCAGTTGGTACAGCAGCTTATATAACCGAGGCAGCCAATCCACTCAAGGGGCGGTTTATGCCCTAACCAACCACAGCCTGTTGCCAGGCAGTTTCTGAAGCCATCCAATCACAGCCTGTTGCCAGGTAGGCTCTTTTGCCAGCTGCCATCTTGGCATGGCCTTCTCATTCCACCACACCTCCTCTCTCTTTCTGTAACTCTGCCTTTCAAATAAATTAATTAATAAAATTAATCTTTTTTAAAAGTTCCTAAGAACCCCCTCTTATTTATTTTTTAAAGATTTATTTATTTATTTGAGAGGCAGAGGCAAAGAGAGAGGGAGAGAGAGAAAGTCTTCCAACCACTGGTTGATTCCCCAAATGGCAGCTACAGCCAGAGCCAGGCCAACCAGGAGCCAGGAGTGTCTTCCAGGTCTCCCATGCAGGTGCAGGGGCCCAAGCACTTGGGCCACCTTCTACTACTTTTCCAGGCCAAAGCAGAGAGCTGGATCAGAAGTGGGGCAGCTGAGACTTGAACTGGAGCCCATAAGGGATACCAGCACTGCAGACGGTGGCCTTACCAGCTACACCACAATACCAGCTCCCTAAAAACCTCTTTAAAAAAAATAAATTAAATAATGCTACTCTGTTTAAAGTTGCTGGGAAGCACCATTTTGTCATTTTATAAGGTCCAAATTTTGTCTCAAATACTGTCTTATTTAAATTCTATTCTCGTTGGTCAGATAATTTTTAGTAGATTTTCAACTAGATAGTCTACAGCATTACTTTTTAGAAAACAAATAAATGAGGGGTTGGCAAACAGCAAAATGGATTAAACCGCTGTCTGTGATGCTGGCATCCCATATGAACAATATGGGTTCATATTGGCCCAAGCACTTGGGCCCCTGCACCCACGTGGAAGACCCAGAAGAAGTTCCTGGCTCCTGCCTTCAGCCTGGCCCAGCCCTGGCCAGTGTAACCATTTGGGGAGTGAACCAGCAGTTGGAAGATCTCTCTCTCTCTCTCTCTCCCCCCCCCCACCCTGTAACTCTGCCTTTCAAATAAAATAAATAAATAAAAATGTTAAGAAGAAAAATTTTCTCATCTTTTATGAATGATAAAACTACACAAATAGGGGCCGGCACTGTGGCTCACTTGTTAATCCTCCGCCTGCAGCACCAGCATCCCGTATGGGCACCAGTTCTAGTCCCAGTTGCTCCTCTTCCAGTCCAGCTCTCTGCTGTGGCCCGGGAAGGCAGTGGAGGATGGCCCAGGTGTTCAGGCGCCTGCACCCGTGTGGGAGACTAGGAGGAAGCTCCTGGCTCCTGGCTTTGGATCGGCGCAGTGCCGGCCGTAGTGGCCATTTAGGGGGTGAACCAACGGAACGAAGACCTTTCTCTCTGTCTCTCTCTCACTGTCTAACTCTATCTGTCAAATAAAAAAAAAAAAAAAAACTACACAAATAAAGATTAAGGGGCAGACATTTGGCTCGGTGGTTCAGATGCTGCTTGGGACTCCAGCATTCCATGTCAGAGTGACTGGGTTCAGTCCCTGCTACACTTCCAATGCCAGCTTCATACTAATGTGTACCCAGAAAGGCAGCAGGTGATGGCTCGGAGAGTCACTGACACCCACGCAGGAATTCCCCACTCCCAGCTTTGACCTGGCCCAGCCCCAGCGGTTGTAGCACTTGAGGAGTGAACCATCAAATGGGAGATCTCTGTCTCTCTGCTTTTCAAATAAGTAAAAATAAATAGTAAATTGTACATAATAAAAATAAACAAAGGTTAAGCATGTGTTATCCAAATTATTTAAAATGAGGCTAGGTTGAATTGAGAGAGGTAAGTGTAAACCAGAAACCAGATTCTGAAGATTCAGGACAGAACAAAGGCTATAAAATATTCCATTAGCAACTTTTCTATCAATTACATCTTCATATGATATTCTGGATATATTTGGTTAACTAAACTATAATTATTAAAGTTAATTTTGCCTTTTTCCTTTCATCATTTTATAATGGATACTAGAAATTTTTAAATGCCCTATTTGGCATCAAGGATTTCCATGGGTCAGTGCTGGATTAAAAAGCATTCCAGGCACCAGCATTTAACGTCTGTCCCATATCGGAGAGCCCAGGTCTGACGCCTGGCTCCAGCTTCCCACTCACGCGGCCCCTGGGAGGCAGCTATGACGGTTCAAGGAGTTGGGTTCCAGCCACTCGCCAGGAGACAGGGACTGTGTTCCTGGCTACTGGCGCCAGCCTGGCCCGGCTCCGGTTGTTTAGGGCATTTGGAGATTGAATCAGCAGATGAGAGTTCTCTTTAGGTTTCTCAATTAAAAAAAAAAAAACAAAAAACAAAACAAAAACAAAAAAACAAATCAATGAATAAAAATAAGAGTATTTTTTTAAAAGTGTGAAGGAAGTAGCATGCACAAAAGGAGCCAACCAGTTTTTGCATTCGTGTCCACTGGGGAAAGCTTTCCCCCAGTGATCAGGGTAAACATCTACGCGATGACAGCTCTGCCATGTTCTCCAAGTTCTGCCCTGCAGTACCGGCACCGTGTTGATAAGAACCACAGGAAAAGGCATTTCCTCGGCAGAAGAAATTCTCGGAGGGACTTTTCACTACTTGGAAACGCAGAGCTGGAATAACCTATCAAGAACAAGGAAGGCACAGATCTCCTCTGTGGGCAGGATCCCGGTCCTGGTCCCTCTCAGCTGGCCACCCGTCTCTGCAGTAGGGGTGATCGCTTACAGCTGGCAGGCCAGAGCCAAAGGCCACCCACGAGGTCATTACATAATGCTTGGTAGCTGCGGCCACGTGTGTGCCGGCTCTGGGGGCCCGGTCCCAGCTCCGACAGGCAGAGCCAGCGCTCAGGGCGACCAGCGCGCAGAGTGTGTGCTCAGGCTGTTTGTTTGGAAAAAGCCTGCCTGGCTCTGTCCCCCTCCAGCCTCTCTCTCTCTCTTCCTCCCCCCCCCCCCCTTCCTTCTAAACACTCTGGCATAATGCTGAATGACTTTGTTTTTAAGCTGCCTTAGCCTTGCTTTGGGAAGAAAAAGCCGGCATAGCCTTGCCCTGTAGGCGCACGCTGTTATTTTTGGAGCAGAGGTTCTAAGCCTGATCTCTGTCTAAACCAATTTCTGTTCCCAGGGAGGTCGCGGTGTGCGACTGCCCTCCCTCCACGGAGGGCGCCCTGAGACGTGGGGGGCCTGGCCCTCCCGCCCTCGGCACGCATCCGCAGGCTCCTGGCCACTCAGAGTCCCCGCATTAGACCGTGCCCTTGGAACAGTCGCGGCCGCATGCCGCGGAGCAGCGGGCGCTCTGTCCCGGGGAGCATGGAAAATTCTTGCTCCAGTCGGAGCCGCACATGCCAGACGACTCCCTCCACCTCTCTTTCAGGAACACGGCTGAATAGTATGTTTCGGATCAGGACTAATGCTGTTCTTTCTTTCCTGTAACTCATGGGACGTCAGGTGGGACTGCTCAGGGTTAAGGAAGCCACCATGGGAGGGTGTCTGTAGGCTGCTCACGGTGCACCAGCAGGGCAGAGCCACAGCCCGCTCTGAGCACCGCCCCTGGAGCCCCCAGGGACCCTGACACCACTTCTCAGGAGCCCCCATGGAGAGCATCCTCGGCTGTAACTCGCTCCAGGGTTGGGCTGCTGGACCCAAGGAGGAAATCTCCAGTGTCTCACAGCTCCTCTTCCCGACTTGTTAACTCCTTGGAGTTTGCATAACGTGTGCCTGGTAGGAAACACGTCACATTACAAAGAGTTCAAAACACTGCTTTCAGGGTGGCCAGTCAACCTAGTGGTTAACACACCACATCTGCACATCACAGGTCCCAGGTTCTGAGCCGGCTCCCACACCTCACTCCAGCTTCCTGCTAACACCACTGGCGAGCAGGGGTGGCAACTCAATTAATGGGATCCCTGCCACGCATGTGGGAGACCTGGATTGAGTTGCTGGGACTGTTTCCCACTGGCCCCGTGTGGGCCCTGTGTTCATTTGAGGAATGAAACAGCAGACAGCATCTCTCTCTCTCTCTCTCCCTTCCCCTCTCCCCTTTCTTTCTGTTTCCCTCTCTCAATCATCTCTCCATTATCCATTTCTTTGCCTCTCAAGTACATAAATAAAGAAAATTTTTAAAATTAAAATTAAAAAAACACTGCTTTCACAAAAATAAGACCCCACCTTATCATTGCTCCCTCCCTTTGAGACAGGTAGCTGAACATTCCAGGACAGGTGTGCGTGGAGGAGGCCCACACCATGAGTGGGCGGAGCAGGAGGCAGGAGCCCGGGTGGGAGCCCGGGGCAGGGGCTGCAGTGGCTGCAGTGGCTTTGGCCTTGGCAGATGAGAGGTGAGCGGTCAGGTGCCAGTGGCAGGCGGCTATACATAGCCAGCCAAAGCTTCTTAGAACAGAAACCTGCTTCCCACCATCCCCCGGTCCCACTCGCAGCCCCCGCAGTAAATCCCCTGGGGGCCCGCTCACCCTTTGGAAGGAGGGCAGCCAGCCGGTGGCCACACCTGACGGCCGACAGCCCTCGCCCTTGCTCTGCCTGCCTGGGGACCGCCGGGGGGCCCAGCCATGGTCGACATGGGGGGCCTGGACAACCTCATCGCCAACACGGCCTACCTGCAGGCCCGGAACACTTCGGAAGTTGACAGCCGCGAGCTGCAGCGGCGGCGCCGGAGCCTGGCGCTGCCCGGCCCGCAGGCCTGCGCCGAGCTCCGCCGGGAGCTGCCCGCACACTTCCACAGCCTCTGCGAGCAGCAGCCCATTGGCCGCCGCCTCTTCCGCGACTTCCTGGCCACGGTGCCGGCGTACCGCGAGGCCACGGCCTTCCTGGAAGAGGTGCAGAGCTGGGAGCTGGCCGAGGAGGGGCCGGCCAAGGGCAGCGCGCTGCAGGGGCTGGTGGCCGCCTGTGCCCAAGGCCTGGCCCCAGGGCAGCCGCTGGCCTTCCTTAGCCCAGCTCTGGCCGCCAAGAGCCAAGCGGCTACCACAGAGGAGGAGCAGGCCGCCGTGGTGACGCTGGCGCAGGCAGAGACCATGGCCTTCCTGCAGGAGCAGCCCTTCCGCGAGTTTCTGGCCAGCCCCTTCTACGAGAAGTTTCTGCAGTGGAAACTCTTTGAGATGCAGCCGGTGTCAGAGAAGTACTTCACGGAGTTCCGGGTGCTGGGCAAAGGGGGTTTCGGGGAGGTGAGTGTCTGCATAGCCGGGTGGGAGGTGCCTGGGGGCACAGCAGGGGTCATTTTGCCTTTATTACTTTCGCATGTCAACGCAATCCACTGAGAACTAATTTCAGTGCCAGATGTGGGGGGTTCCTTACTCCCTTCTTTCTGGTCACCTGTGACCAGTACACTACAAATGACCTAAGATGGAGGCTCATATGGACGTGACCGAGGAGCTGGCCCGTGAGCTTCATGAGGAGCGCGGTGGAAATGTCCCGGGCGGGGAAGGCCAAGGCGAGCTGTAGCGGAGGGCCTCCTTACTATGGCAGTGGGGGTTCCTGGAGGGGCCTGGGAGGCCCCTAGTCGGCTTCCTAGCAGCTTTGCCTACTCCATGGGGTGCATCCTGCCAGCTGCGTCCTTGTCTACCCGACTCCTTCCACGCAGCAGAGTGCGCTGGCCATGCTCAGGTGGTAGCGTGCACGAGTATTGCAGACCTTACGGCTCATTGGTAGTCTGCTGTCGGGAGACGCCCCATTTCTCGTCTCCACGTGTCTGCAGATGGACACTTGGGCCATTCCCACGTCTTGGCTACTGTGCATAAGTAGCACTGCTCTGAACAGTCCCGGGCAGGTGTTTGCTTGGTCTCTTGGTGCACATCCAGGTGTGGGACTGGTGAGGACCCATCAAACGCTTTCCCATGTTTGCATCCCCACCTGCTGTGCATGAGGGTTACAATTCGTCCCCATGCTTGCTAACTTCCTCTTTTTTATTGTGGCCATCATAGAGAGGGTGACGTGGTGTCTTGTGGTCCCCACTGCACCCTGCTTCCGGCCATCTCCTCACCTTGGCTAATGTCCACCTCCTCTTCCTTGATCGCCATGGCCCCTGCATCCCTCTCCGGCCATCTCCTTCTACCTCTCCCTCTCCCCTTCTCTCTCCCCTTAAGGTCTGCGCCGTCCAGGTGAAGAACACCGGTAAGATGTATGCTTGTAAAAAACTGGACAAGAAGCGGCTGAAGAAGAAAAATGGTGAGAAGATGGCTCTCTTAGAAAAGGAGATCTTGGAGAAAGTGAGCAGCCCTTTCATCGTCTCCCTGGCCTATGCCTTTGAGAGCAAGACCCATCTCTGCCTGGTCATGAGTCTGATGAACGGGGGAGACCTCAAGTTCCACATCTACAGTGTAGGCTCACGGGGCCTGGCCATGGAGCGGGTGGTCTTCTACTCAGCCCAGATGACCTGCGGAGTGCTGCACCTCCACACCCTTGGCATCGTCTACCGGGACATGAAGCCAGAGAACGTGCTGCTGGATGACCTTGGCAACTGCAGGCTGTCCGACCTGGGGCTGGCCGTGCAGGTGCAAGACGACAAGCCCATCACGCAGAGGGTGAGTGGCTCTCCACCTGCCCCAAGTTCAGAGCACAGGGGCCAAGAGCAGGGGAATGGGCTGTTTTGTTGCCAGGGCAACAGAGCTTTGTACTGAACTCTTTGGATTTCCTTTTCCTAAAGCCCTTAATATTGTCATCTGGCCTTAAGTGAGACAGCGTAAGAGGATCAGCTTAGCCGGCTGCCCGGAGTCGGCTTGGCTCTCTCCTCTCAGGGGAGGGGGAGCCGTCTGTGTCAGTCGGGGGTGGTCCATGACTTCATGGTGAGATAGAAAGAACTAAACCCAAGGACTTGCTGTGTCCCACCAAAGTGCTGTGCTGCATTCCCCTGAGCCAACACAGCCTCACTTTCTGGACAATGAGGGGGCTGCATCCTAGAATTCCGTGACCCTCAGAGGTAGATTTTAATACAATAAGAAAAGAAAGAAGCCCCTAGTGTTTAATACATTAAAAGTAGAATGTTGGGGTGGGTATTTGGCCTAGTAGTTAAGAAGCCTGTGTCCCATTTCAGAGTACCTTGGTTAGACTCCCAGCTCTGGCTCCTGTCTCCAGGTCCTGCTAATGCAGACCTGGGAAGCAATGGCGGTGGCTCAAGTAATTGAGTTCGGGCCTCCCACCTGGGAGACCTGGATTGAGTTCCCAGCTCCCAGCTTCCCAGCTACTGGCTGTTGTGAGCATTTGGGAAGCAAACCAACAGCCAGCCCTCTCTCTCAATTAAAAAAAAAAAAAAAAAGGAAAAGGTAAAATAATTCCTTTCTTGTTGAGTTCAGATTGGGGGAGTGTAAAGTTTTAAAATAAAAAATATGTAGATGAAGCCGGCGCCGCGGCTCACTAGGCTAATCCTCCGCCTAGCGGTTCCGGCACACCGGGTTCTAGTCCCGGTCGGGGTGCCGGATTCTGTCCCGGTTGCCCCTCTTCCAGGCCAGCCCTCTGCTGTGGCCAGGGAGTGCAGTGGAGGATGGCCCAGGTGCTTGGGCCCTGCACCCCATGGGAGACCAGAAAAAGCACCTGGCTCCTGGCTCCTGCCATCGGATCAGCGCGGTGCACCGGCCGCAGCACGCTGGCCGCGGCGGCCATTGGAGGGTGAACCAACGGCAAAGGAAGACCTTTCTCTCTGTCTCTCTCTCTCACTGTCCACTCTGCCTGTCAAAAAAAATAAATAAATAAATAAATAAATAAAAATATGTAGATGAGAACAATGGCAACTGATGTTTATTTATATAAACATTTTTAAAAGATTTATTTGAAAGGCAGAGTTACAGAGAGGGAGAGGGAGAGGGAGAGGGAGGGACAGAGGCAGAGGCAGAGGCAGAGGCAGAGGCAGAGGCAGAGGCAGAGAGAGGTCTTCCATCTACTGGTTCACTCCCCAAATGGCCACAACAGCCGGAGCTGGGCTGATCTGAAGCCAGGAGCCAGGAGCTTCTTCCGGGTCTCCCACGCAGGTGCAGGGGCCATCTTGGGCCATCTTCCACTGCTTTCCCAGGCCGCAGCAGAGAGCTGGATAGGAAGTGGAACAGCCAGGTCTCAAACCGGTGCCTATATGGGATGCCGGCACTGCAGGCGGCAGCTTTACCTGCTATGCCACAGCACCACAACTGATATTTATTTTGATCAGTTTGTTTTGAAGTGATTTGCAGAGAATCCTTTGATTAAAAGGGGAATTATGAATAGGCAATCATCTTAAGTCAACACAAAATCCCTGGAACTCCAATAGGTATTTATCACTGAGTTTCTGTGGCTGATTCCCCAGAGAGACAAGGGCCAAGACCCCAAGACCGAATCTTAAATATTCACTGAAAACTAGTCTGCACAGTTTTCAGCTTACAAGGTACAGAGAGCCGTCAAGAAAGAAAATGAGCAAGATGGTGGCACGTTTGGGAAACTGCAGGTGGTTTTATGAGGCTATAAGGTGAGGCAGATGTACCAGATGTGTAACTCTTGCCTGTCAAGTAGATAAATCTGCAAGAGATGCCGAGGTCTGAATAGTGCGCTGAGAGCAAAGAAGTGGAGCAGCTTGGAGCTGTGAAGAGAGGTCTGGGGGGTCGTTGGGACCTGCAGGGTATGAGGGTAAGGAAAGGCGGGGGTCTCTGGCTGCAGGGACCAGAACAGCAGGAAAGCCGGCAAGTTTAATTGTGAGCTCACCGTCCCTGAGGCTCTGACGAAACAGGTAGGCAGAAGTGTTCACTGGGCATTTAGATTCACAGGGTCTGGTGCAGTGGAGAAAGACCCGGGCTAAACGTGGAGATCGGGAGTTGCCATGGCTTGGGAGCTGAGGCACCACTGAGTCACTTGGGAAACAGTGGGGCGCGAGGAGCTCAGACACATGGGGGGGATGTGGTGGGGGTAAGGGGGCTGGAGAGGTCCAGGAAGCAGGAGGAGAGGCAGGAGGCGTGGCGTAGTCATGGGAGCCATGTCAGTGAAGGCTGAGTTTCAACTGCATGTCACGGAAAACCCAAAAAGTAGTGGATTACTTCGGCAGCTACAGGGTGATAGGATCCATAGCTTTGTACTCTGGGCCTGCTGCTGCATTGAGCCAGAGGAAGGAAGATTTCTGTATGTCTGTCTGTCTCTCTGTCACTCCCTCTCTTTTTGCCTCTCAAATAAAGTACAGAAAAAAACACTTTAAAAGATATTCCATGGAAAAATTTCCATAAACAACAGGGAGAAAGTGAGAAGCGAAAGTCACCGTGGCTATGGAGATGCATAGCTGCACTGACTCGCGGCTGTCCGTTCAGAAAGTCAGGCATCCTGGCTTGGAAGTTTGGCTGGTTTATTCCCATTCAGTGACGCGGTTTTGTACAAATTGCGGTCGCTCTCTGCTATCTATAACAGAATATCAGATTGTAGTGTGGATTCGGCAGTTCACCATTTCAAGGAACGGGTTTCGGTGCAAACCTCTTGACCTTGTCCTTCTCGTCACATGATGTCTGTTGCAACTCCAACACGGAGTCCACTTCCCAGACAGGAGAAAGGAGCAATGGCCACAGCCTTCTGCTTATTGCCCATTGGCCGAGACCACGTCACGTGGTTGCCTCTTGCTGCAAAGGTGGCTGAAAAACACACATTTCATTTTCCAGCCTGTGCTTTAGGGGCTGACCTGGGAAGACAGAAATGAGATTAGGTGTTGGGTGAGCTGAAGGCATCAGCTGCATAGGCCCCTAGGGAAAAATATGGAGTGCAGGAAATCTGTTTCAGTGTCTTTACTAGAACTAGAAAATAATAGTTACGATTAGAAATCTCAGATGACCTTCCCCACCTAAAAAAAAAAAAAAAAAAAAACCCTCTTGCCCTTGTATAATCCTCTCCCCTTGAGTGTAGGAAGGATCTGTGCAAAAGACAGCACTCCCATGATCATTATTACATTAAGAGGTGAAAGGGACTGTTAAGATGTAATTAAAGGTCACTAATCAGTTGAATTCTGGGCAGACCTGCCCTAATCATGAGAGTCCTTTAAATATGGATATAGAAGTCAGAGACTGCAGAAGGCAGAAATTTAAAACATGAAAGGGCTTCAATGCCCAATCACTGGCTTTGCAAACGGAGGAAGCCTTGTGGCAAAGGAAACAGGTGGTCTCTAGGAGTTTCGAGCTGCCTCTGACAGATAGCCAGCCAGGGCCCAAGGACCTCAGTCCTCCAACCACATGGTCTGGATACTGTTATCACCATGTGAGCTTGAAAGAGGACCCTGAGCTGCTGATGAGAATGCAACCTGGCCAACAGCTTGACTTTAGCCTCGTGAGGCCCTAACAGCAGAGCCCCACTATGTGTGCCCAAACTTCTGACCTACAAAACAGGAGCTAATACATGGATATTGTTTAAAGCTACCGAGTTAGTGGTAATTTGTTACATGGCAATAGAAAGTCATACAAATAGTTAATAAAGGAAGGTAGCCGAGAGGATTATTTTGTATGATGACATCAAAATAAATGAAGGCTACAACAAGGTGCTAGACATGGTTAGAGAGGAACATTGTGTTCCCCCAGGAAACACCTGCCACCTATTATTATAGAACTGGGCATTGTAATTGAATTTATGAATCTGGATATGATTCTTCCAAGGAAGTAATTTTTCCCTAGGTATGAGCTGAGTCTTCCTGATGGACACAGGCCCTTTCAAGCTATTGGTGAGACAATGGATTACTCTGTTGGCAGTAGGGAGCTGCTATGGTTTGAACAAGATTGGGTTCCCATTTAAACCCAGTAAGTCATAAGTTGATAGAGGATAGAAACTTACTCCATTCATGATGCTTGGGAGGTGGCCGAGTGGGAGGTCCTTGGATTATTGGGCTTGGTTATAAAAGCAGAGTTGTGCCAGGCCACCCTCTCTGCTTCCTGGCTTCCCCTCTGTGATCCTTCCTCTGCCTGTACCCCATGCTCCTTGGCTGTCCTCATCAGAGGCCAAACCAGTGGGACCACACAATGTTGGACTTGAACCTCGAAAACTGTGAGCTTTATAAAGTTAGCTTTTCTCAGGTGTTTCACTGCAGAAGCCCCGGCAGGTTTTTGAATACAAGAGTGACATGACCAGAGTGATCCTTTAGGAAGAAGGAAGAAGATGGAGAAGGAAGTGATCCATTAGGAAGACGGAAGAGGATATGAAAGAGAAAGAGTACGGGTAGGGTAGAAAGGGGACCCAGCAAGGAGCCACTGTAATGACCTGCATGCAGGGCAGCGAGGGCCTGAGGTCAGCCCAGGGCTCTGCACAGTCCCATTCCTCTGCTCATTCCCTTGGCCCCTCACCCAGGTTCCCTCAAGCCCCAGACCTTTACTGAGTCCCTGAAAGTCTTGGTGGAGCCTGGAGGGGCATGCAGCCACTCCTAGAGTGGCGACCTCTGTCCCGTGGGGTCTGCTGGCCTCTCCGGTGCAGTGTGACTCAGGGAGGTGCTTCAGGGGACACAGGAGCAGTTGGCTGCACCCAGGTGAGTGAGTGAGTGAGTGAGTGAGGCCGCCAGGCCCGGGAGGGTCCAGGCCTGGTCTTGTCCCAGCTGTCCTGTGATTCTCCG